CAGAAGTCCATGACTGTTCAACATCCTCCCAATAAACATAATTATTGCCAGAACAAAAGTGGACATGTTCCTGCAAGTCCAACCAGGTTGTGTTAGATATGTGGGCCTGTGGGCCACTACAAGCAATAGCCTGCTGGACCAAGTTATCACAAGTCAAGCCTGGCCACAAGCTGGGCTTGGGCAACAGAAAAACTCAAACTGACTCTAGGTATACAGTACTTACATACTAAGTTTAGGATTTCACCTTATTCAAATCTTTGCTGCACACCTCCTGAGATGTGGATATGTGAAAACTTCTCCATTTGCAATCCTCTTAACTGGACACTAAATGCTCTTCTGTCACCAACATACAAAATGCTCCTGGCTAGGTAATGTATTAGTCACAACATTAACTCATGGAACAAAGATTTGCACCATACTGTCAGACTGCATTATTCTGCTATCACTCATCTCATAGGCTGTCCTGATATGGTCCTAAATATCCACTGACACAGATGGTACTAAATAGTCTCCCCACCTTGGTGGCTTTTGGTAGTTGCTTGCTTGCTCATTTTTTTCCCTCAGGGATATTCCTGCACAGGTTCCAAGCCTCTGGCTGGCCCACTAACATCCCTTAATAATAGATGAATATGCTTCCTTTCCACTCTCGTATTGGCATCCTGAATGATATCTAAAAGCTCTTGAGTATTTTGTAACAAAGTGCTATATAACCTTCCTGGCTTAGTGCTTCATTTTGATAAATACTTACTTGATCTAAGAGACTTTGTGAAACGAGGTGTAAATTATAGGTACTGTATAATAGAAAATATAAACACCCATAACAAGTATTACAGACAAAGTGCGGGAATATACAGATTTGTGGCAAGCGGAAGCTATATGTGTTTCAAAGGAAGTAAGCTTTAATGTGTTAGGTGAATAAATCATATTGAAAGTTATGAAAACAAAATAGAACATATAAAACGTGATCATAAAGTCTAGTGTTAAAAATTACGCAGGGTATGTAAAAGAAGTAATACAGGATGACAGGCCAACACTGATGGACACTAACAAATGTGGTTTCTTTCTTCATAATTTTAAAACTAGCTAAGCATCAGATCCCTCTCTTAAACTTTGTGTTTCAGTTACAAATAAGCAATAGATTCAGTATACAGTATAGGGCGCCCTCGAACGTCTAAATCACGTCGTTCTGGTGTTGATCCAGATTTTCTTAAAATCTGTGATTCCAGAATGTTTTATGTACCATAGTGGGTGTGTGGGCCTGCTTTTTACACTTAAAGGTGTGATTTCTTTTTCCATTTGTATTGGTCAAGTTTTAGTAAAGAAAACTTAAATTTTGTGATTGCTTTTTGAACATGTATGGGTAATGGGTGTAGTTAATGATAAAACTCAGAGTTCTTAATATTTCTTACCCTTAAGTATTTTTAGGCATTTTATGAAATTCCATGTTTTTTTTTTTTTAATTACTGTACATGTTTTTATTTCACTAAACTACAAACTGTTTTCATTAGTGAAGACAGATTAAAGGAAATTATTCTAGGTTCTAGATTCTAGAAGAATATTTTTAATCTTTCAGATCCTGAATATTATGGGAATGAACAGCAAGTCTCGTTTTTAATATAATTTAAGCTGTATATTTTGGCATGTGAATAAATATGAAGTTGCACATACTGTGCTTTTGTCTTTATCCTTGAATGATCTTTTGCCATTTATGAGTGTTTTTTATTTTAGGAATTTGTTTTTAAAAACACATAGCTAAACTGACCAATGGATCCAAACTGGACTCTTGTTTATGAATGGATTATAGCAGTACAGTGCAAGATGTAGATGTGAAGAGAAATATGTCTAATCAATTTTAAATGTATACAAGGTATTACTCTGAATTATATCATTTGGTCAGCTACTCCATATACTGTATATACTATTTAATTAAGTAACAGTGTTTTGCTTTGAAATAACTTCTATAATGTTAAAGCAATTGTAGCACATTATGTTTGAGTGTGCTTTATTATACATTAGTTAACAGGAATAAAATCTGAAGTTACACGTAACTTTTACATTAATGTTATTTTCTGGGAGAGACCCGTGAATAGCACCCAGAGCTTTGGTACAACATTAGCCTAACACATCATGCCTCAGAGATCCATCCATTGCCTGTAGGGAGCCAGAACTAGAATTTGGCTCTGTGAGGCAAGGGGGAGCAGGAGATCAGAAATCCCCATAAAACAGGAAAATCCACAGAGCAACAAAACAAGCAATTACATGAAAGAAATTAGACACCCCATGTAAATAAAGCTAACGATCATTGCTGCAGGATAAACATACTGACTTGTGCAAATGCCACCATATAGCAGCCCAAGTCTCATCCAGCCTATTAATTAACTCTTCTTCCCTGGTATTATCAGCTTGATACCCATTGGCCTCAGTTTTCAGCTGTGCAGTGCTTGCTTTCCCTAGAACATTAGTTTTCCTGAGGGTCATTGCTTTGTATTCATTCACACTTCATGACTAGTGTTTATGCCACCCACATTGTGATTTTATTTTTGCTCAAGTCACCTGTGTGTGTTAGTGGCCTTGCACCTTAGCTAAGGGCACATTTGTGATTTTTTTATTCATGGCTGCTTATATGCCCTCCCTCACCAAGCAATGGAGGTTGAGGTTCAGTATTTGTGCTTTGCCCTGGCAGGCAAGCCCTTGCCTGTCTGAATGAAATTTGGGTGACTGGAATCCTTAATTTTTATGGGGTTTATCATTTTGTGTTTTCAGCTGGGTTTGTATGGCTTTGCCATCTGATTTCTTGACTACAAAATTCACTTTCTCAAGATGTAGTATTTTTGTGTTTTTAGACCCCGTTGACCTTTCCTGTTGCCTACATCATGAAGTATTACTAGTAATGGGAACCTCATTCCATGGGGGTATGTGCCATTTGTCAACACTGCAATCTTCTCATGGCCTGCCTATTGAGCTATGGCCACTTTGTGGGATTGGACTTTACAATATAGGTTTTTCTGACACTGTCTATGGCAAGGGGTACAAATACTGATTTCTAGCCGTTTGTTGAGGAAATTTTCGCGCGTCTCTTCATCCGATACTTGTGCCACCTATCCGCCGACTTCCTCTCCTGCTCCTACCTTGGCTGGCTTAGATTCATTTGATGTTTCATTTTTCTTTACTGGTTCAGGCTGCTGGTCTATCAGTGCCAGTCCTTTCCTGTCAATGGTGGCCATTTGCTTGTTTGATAATCACCACCCCATTGTTTATGTTGATTATCCTGATTATCCACTTTCCTTGCCCTTACACCTGTTTGTGTTTGCATTTTCTTCTCCCTGCTTCATCCACATTTTTTGTTGCCTTTGTCAGCTGCACATCATGTTGTCTTTAGTGAAGGTATCTTTGGGGACAGCTGCAATTTCACTAAGGATGAGTTGCTGGCTCAGAGGTAAAGCCTGCTTTGTTTGCTGTCTATTTCCTTTCTTGAGACTCTGGGCTCAGCAGGTGATGTAGGCTTCTTTCCTTGTCCTTCATACTATTTAAAAAGTCACCACGGTTATGTGAGAGCAGTTTTGGGGGCACTATTTATGTTTCATGCAGTGTTTGCAGGGGGCATGTTCTCTGCAGGTTGGGGCCCTTCATGAGCCACCTTTGCTCGTGGGGTCCCAGGTGGACGGTTCTGCCCCTACCTACCTTGAGGCTACCTTGAGGTGCTTCCGGGGCTTAGTGTCCCCGCGGCCCGGTCGTCGACCAGGCCTCCTGGTTGCTGGACTGATCAACCAGGCTGTTAGACGCGGCTGCTTGCAGCCTGACGTATGAGTCACAGCCTGGTTGATCAGGTATCCTTTGGAGGTGCTTATCCAGTTCTCTCTTGAACACTGTGAGGGGTTTGCCAGTTATGCCCCTTATGTGTAGTGGAAGCGTGTTGAACAGTCTCGGGCCTCTGATGTTGATAGAGTTCTCTCTCAGAGTACCTGTTGCACCTCTGCTTTTCAATGGGGGTATTCTGCACATCCTGCCATGTCTTCTGGTCTCATGTGGTGTTATTTCTGTGTGCAGGTTTGGGACCAGCCCCTCAATTATTTTCCACGTGTAAATTATTATGTATTTCTCCCGCCTGCGCTCAAGGGAGTACAGATTTGGGCTCTTTAGTCGGTCCCAGTAATTTAGATGTTTTACTGAGTGGATTCTAGCAGTAAAGGATCTCTGCACGCTCTCTAGGTCAGCAATTTCTCCAGCTTTGAAAGGGGCTGTCATTGTGCAGCAGTACTCCACTCTAGATAGCACAAGCGTTTTGAAAAGTATCATCATCGGTATAGCATCTCTAGTGTGAAAAGTTCTTGTTATCCAACCTGTCATTTTTCTTGCAGTTGTGTTCCAGATTCTTCCCATCCATTGTCCTGACTCCGTCCCTCCAGAGGCTCCTGCACTATTAGACCTTTTCTTACAAGAGAAGGTTCATACATATAATGAATCTTTTCTTACAAGAGAAGGTTCATACATATAATGAATCTTTTCTTACAAGAGAAGGTTCATACATAGAATGAACCTTTTCTTACAAGAGAAGGTTCATACATAGAATGGCAAAACAGTTAGCAAAATCCTGAAAGAATTGGCGATTGGCGTTATCTTGCGATGATTTCGAGGCTTTAGTGTCCCCGTGGCCCAGTCCTCGACCAGGCCTCCACCCCCAGGAAGCAGCCCGTGACAGCTGACTAACACCCAGGTACCTATTTTACTGCTAGGTAACAGGGGCATAGGGTGAAAGAAACTCTGTCCATTGTTTCTCGCCGGCGCCCGGGATTGAACCCGGGACCACAGGATCACAAGTCCAGCGTGCTGTCCGCTCCAACCGACCGACCGGCGTGCTAAACATAGCTTCATAAACTTGAAAATTTAAGTTCCTGATACCTTCCTCATGAACAATATCTTCAGCTCGGATATTATGATGGATATTAACACAAATACAGCAGGTCTGTCACTCAGGCAGAGATGTTCAATGAAAGTAACTGTAAACTGTAGTTTTATATTTACATACACAGTACAATGTTATATTGTTATAAACATCAACAATAAATATTTTTCTTGTACATATTGATTGCTGATAGTCATTTGGTAATACAGTAAACAGTACTAGCTAATTACAGTAACTATAAATATGAATGTGGCCAGAGTATCAGCCAAGATATAATGGAGTATTCCCTTATCAATCATACTTTATATATTGGCTAACTTGTTATTGCTATGCTACTGACAAAGAACAAATTATTCTAGTTAAGATTTAACAAAATTTTGTTAGCGATCTTAAAAACAAATCTTAACCTGCATTCATTTTTGGAACCTTTAACTTTAACTTCTGATATCCAGTAATGTAAACAATAATAGATAATGAAAACTGTAATAGCTAATGTCAACTGTTCTAATATAAATTTTAGTGACTAATGTAAACAAGAAAATTTTTATCTCTATACAGTACTGTATATGAAATCAAGATTCTTTAGAATTGTTGCCATATAACTAGAATTAAACGTACTAATTATGTGGCAAGTGGAATGAATAAAATGAAAGATGCACAGGTATATAATTTTAAGTATGTCAGCATCCTCAGGAGTTTGTTTCAGGTTTAGGACCCCCCATTACCTTTTATGAAGGGAAACTTCAAGTAATCGCCCTGTTTTGAGTCGCTCAATAATTCTGAGCAGAGAAAGGTACAGTATTTTCTTGTCGACTGTACAGTAAAATGGTATCACGGTAAATTTTGCCAACTTTTCCACTTTCGGAATTGGGACCTGATACTGTATTGAAAGTTGTACAGCTGAGCATCTAAAATACAACGTAGTTAAGGCCAAACCCATTGTAGGTACAGTATTTAAATCCAAGAATGTCAAAAATGCATATATTTTCCCCAGACTGTTCTGATTTATGGCAGAATTTGTTTTCTAATCAAGGCAAAATAATTACATGGTGTATGGTAAGGAGGGAGTGATGAGGTTTCGTAACAAATTTCAAATTTCTTGTCCAATAGCAAAAAAAAAAAAAAAAAAAAGGATTTCTGGCTTGATTTTTTATTCAATAAAAAATGACTATTGTACTGAATATATAATTTTGTCTTTATATTTTAGATGCTCAACTTCTGGAGCATTATATATCATGAGTAGATGTATGCCAGTAAAGAATACTGGAATACAGTAATTGTTCTCACAAACATGAAAAAGAATGTGTTGAAATGCAATTTCTACAATGTAGCACACAGGTTTTAAACTTAGTGATTTTCTTATTTATTAAAAAATGGAATGTCCTAATATGGGAATGTAAATTGATAATACATTTATGCATACTGTACATAAAATTAATAAACTGAAGATACAAATTTCTGCTGACCATTAAGCAACAACCTGGAAACTGCAACACTAGATTTTTTGGACACTGGGATTTATTCTTGGGAAATAGTCAGACACAGGAATAAAGGCCTGATAACACGCAAAACAAAATGTTGCTTAAAATTATGTATATAATACAAATATTATTTTGAATTTTAAGTTAAAAGGCAGCTATTAGGTCACAAATATATAAATGCTTTATTTCTGAAAGGAATATACTGTATTGTAAATACAAAATACTGTACAGGTGCCCTTGTATATAGAAAACATGAATGTTAAGTTTCTAAAAAACAAGAGTGCTATCTAAAAATGTGCTTTATAAACAAAAATTGGAATACGGTTACAATGCCAGTCATGGTGAAGTTCTACATGGATGTCCTGAGGTTTAGATAGTAATTTTTAATAATATGATCACAAACCAAGAAAAAATATATAGGGATTTGCAACAACTTTAGTTTACGAGGAAACAAAAGGATGGATGTGAAAGTGGGAGAGAGAATGGGGGAAGTGTGTGTGTGCAGGGTGAAATAGTGAGAGAGTGAGTGGGTGTGAGGAGTGAACCAAATCATGCAGCCCATCCTCGTAAACAAAAGTCAAAGTCCATTCCATGCACCGTTTATGAATGAAAAACGGTTTACACACAACTCACGACGTTCGAACATCTCAAAAAGTGCTTCGCTGACGACTTTTTACAGCATTGTGGTTGGAACAAATGCTTCACCTACGTACCACAAGTACAAATAATTGTTAACAGAACCTAAACATCTAACCTAAGCAATGCCTAAATATGCACAGTATGCTAATATATAACTATTAATTTATATTAGAAAATTCCTATTTTGAAAACAGCATATTAAAATTGATGAATGTGTCTTTGGGGTCGAGCACTGGGCGGAATGGACTTGGTCTGAGGACAGGTTGCATCATGATTATCTTTGTGTGGACAGGTGAGCATGCTTTGAGTGCATGTTGTACAATTTAAATTATTGGGCACTCATATAAAAGTTTTGCTATAATAGGATTTCCAATAAGGGTCAAATATACACATCAATTTCTATAACAAAAACCACAATGGAACAAAGATGATTAGCTACAGTCAAGTTCATTACAGTGTAACTCCAACTATCCTAATTAACCATTATGTCTGGATGTCCAAAAACTGGAATTCTAGTTTAATTAAAGAATACATCATGAATATATTGTATAATTTTCCACTTTTTTTGTTATTGAATGTATGGCTACAAGTACCTATAATGGTGTTTAATGTGGACAAAATTATATGAGCATTTGTTTTTTCCATATAAATGGGTATGCTCCCATTGATTCTCAAGTGATTTTCCAAAGTGAGGGGTGAAGAACCAGATACTGTACTGCATTTGCCTTCCAGTAAACCCGAGTCAAGAAAATGGGAATCCAGATAACAAAGCAATGTCACTTAAAATGCAATTCTTAGTGCCAAAAGAGAATAGCTAAAGTAAACTGTTCAGTAAGTGAAACTTATAAGGATTGAATAATGAAACCCCCTTTTCTGGTAGGGCCACTCTGTAGCCTCTTGAGATACAGTATAGCACTGGAGCTGCCAAGCCTTGGGTAACTGCACAAAGCCTGTAAGACCAAACCAAAGCCACTGGGAGACAAGGCCTGAATATAGCTCTCTACAAAGCATCTACTCCAGAAGCCTCACAATCAGGAAACAGTGCCATGTGGACCAGAAGTCACTGATTCCAGGCAGAGTCAAAAAGGGCCACCTACAAATGGCCAAATATATCAAAGCCAGAAGCAGAAAACCTTGTCTACCAACCACTGAAAGACCAGAGGGAAGAGACTGTCCATTGGGTTGTTTGAAATGTCCCAATTTGAAGCATCTATAGGCCTAAATACTGGGATTGGCAGAAGTCTGGCTACAGTATTCACAGACTAACTCTGCTGGGAAAGGGAATGACCTGAAATTTCCCCCATATAAGGCAATGGACCACTGAAGCACAATGCAAATTAAACCAGTGTATGGAGTACAATAGGTAGAGGGTAGGCTTGGGTTTGCCTCAAGAGGCCCCTTTTGTAATTTCCTTAGGCTTTGCAGCCCCAATTCAATAGTTTGGAGAGTTACTGAGGAGACCCCTCTTGGAAATTCTCAGAATAATGAATTATTGGGATTAGAATTTTCATACTATATGAAAACAGCCCACAAAATACATCCTATATTTATGCAATGTATTAGTATCGTTCTTAATCACCCATCATGCCAAGAACGGTATAGCTGCTCAATTAAAGTGATTTTGATTTGCTATCAATGGCTACAGTGTAGCCATTGATAGATGCAGAGATGTTCATGACAGTTTGACTGCCTTTCATACTTCTGGGCTGATTTTGTGCCATAATAGTTATTGTACACAGCCAATTTTTCCTGAGAATTAAACAGAAAAGCATACATGATGCATCTTCAATGATTAAAGCCTTTTGGGCCAAGGTTTCTATCGTGATTTCTGGCACAATGGGGTTAGATTACATCCATGTCTTCATCTAAGAAATATTAACTAGGTTACTATAAAATTTCAGCAAATGCTTTAGATCTGACTGACATAAAATACTAAAAATAATACAATATTGTCTATGATACTATATTAAAATCTATAAAATGGTAAATCGATGATTCTTATTGCAAAGAAATATATTGCACATACAATGTTATGTAAAAATAAAAGCTGCACAACAGTACAAACTTAAAAATGTCTAAAAATAACACTGTCACTCTCTTAATAAATATAGTTTAAAATATTTAAAAGATCTTTACTTGGTCATGTCATCTTGTGGTGGTTGCATCTCGTTCACACAAGTTGCACCAGCATTTTCACTCAATACATTCACTTGCTCAGTAGCCTTCATATTTGGATTCAAAAATGTCTCTCTCTCTAATACTGCCATTGCTGCCATTTTAAGTTCTTTAGGGCTCATTACATAAATAACAGTTCTAGGCTGCATTAAAACACTTGGTTTGAATTTCACACCCGGCTGGCCACTACCAGAACCCTCCAGCCAGGAGGGAACATTCCTTGCCCTTTGTGTCATACTGTCACTTCTGGATTCCTGTTCCATTGAATTTAATAAAATAATTACTAACAACTAACACTATTATTACTAATCTAATTCAACATTTAAAGCTTCTAGTTCTTACAACACTAACACAGTCAAGTATCAATACTGAATGGAAAAAAATGACAGGGTTCAGGAGTTAGTTGCACAGATAATGTATCCAAATTATTTACAAAATGCATAACTATAATAGTTTCTACAATAAAAAATGCTAAACCTAAAAATTCAAGAAAAATACAGTACTGTAATTACAATTTCCCGTTCAAAATTTATCCATTTCTCATATTTAATATTAACATAAAAAATGTAATTTATAATGGTACTAAATGCCAATACTGCTACACACAATATTCATCTATATACTGTACTATAATAATAAAATTAGGACCATATTTTAAATAATTAATCAACAATTGAAGTAATTATTGCAACTTTAATACTGTAAAACATTTAATGCACAGTTTAGATGTTACCATATTCCAAGCTAGATTCTGAGGAGGATGGGGACAGCTGTGGATACTGCTCGGGCACAGGATGAAGGTAGGGGTTTGGACGCCTTACTGGAATTCCATAGTAATCATCAGTATCTTCTGCTGAAGTATCTCCACCACCCCAGTCTAAACCTGTAGCTGCACGCTCAGTTATAATTTGTTTAAATTCTTGAATGGACTCATTAAGTGACCATAACTGACACAGAAGAGACATATCCAGCTGACGCAGGCCAACCTGAAAATAGATTAAGGGAGAAATGTAAAATATAAGGTGCTCTGAGGGTAAAGAGTATTTGTGAGTTCACGACTACAAACTAACCTAAAATTTTGCTTTGGAAATTCATGAATAAACTTGTTCTACTTTGATCTTGTAACAGCCTTATGAGCCAATCTAAAATTGCCAAATACAGTGAGACTTTAATTAGCCAAGTTTTTATTTACCAGTCTCTCTGGATAAGAGTAATGACAAATTTCTTGTTACTGTATATCAATTTACCATTACACTGGTGGGGAAATCAATAAAAATGCTGACCGCATCAATATTAAAAAAAAATCAAAAATTATAATCAAAATGTTTATTCAGGCAAATGTACATACATAGAAGATGAGTTATTATCATAATGTTGGATTTATAGATAGAACCAGTACATCCAATACCTAAAGCCCTCATACGCAAGGTGTGGGGAAAACCCCCCACATAGACTAAAACTTAATACTAATTGAGATTAAAGTATAAATTGTGCAGAAAGAAGAAAAGAAAAGAAGGAGCGAACGTGGCAGAAATCAGCAATTATACAAGTTGGTCAACAAACAGTATGGTTTGAAAATAGCAAGACATGGGTTGACAATTTGGGTAGGTTAAATGGAGTATATTAACCAATTAGTCATCAAGCAGCACAATCATTAAAACCAAGTGTTATTCGAATAATATAAAACATTTTTACAATAATATAAAACAGATGGTATAAATTAAATCCTGTACTATACAGTGTTTGTTTAATGAGACATAGTAAGAGATGTTAAGATCGATGGCACTTTGATTCAGGTGGAATAAGGTGGTTGTGCAGCCCGTCCTCTCAAGCATTCACAACATACTAAACTCATTTACTAAATTGCCCAAACCTAACATACCTGAGGACCCACAAATAGAAAAAGGAACCAAGTCAAATTTGTGATTTTGACAAATGATTTTTGTCATGAAATGACTGAATTTTTATCACTACATCAGTTTTTGGCCTTAGAGCATTCATACTTCAAAAAACTTTTAAATTTTAAAATTCAACTGGAAAAGATCATCAGGGCAAATGGAGGAACCTTTGACAAGCCGCCAACTTCCTGTCCCTGACGAAGCCATTAGTACTAGTGGCCCTCAGGTAAATTCAGGTTGGGTAGGGATGTAAATACTTTTCATCCACCATAACTAGTCTATGTGTTTTCCATTTTTTTCTGAAACAACTAGTACATCCATACACTATCATATCTCTAACCCTACTCATGAAGGACAGAAGAAAGTGTACATACAGTATGCTGGTTAGCCTTGCATAAAAGTATAGCTATTATGTTAAAAAAAATTATTTTGATTAGTTTTAATTAGGAAAGATGTTACAGTAGCAGCATTAGTCATGCTCAATCAGAAAAGAAGAAGAGGGATGTTATACCTATTCAGGAAAAAATTAGATTGATTGGAAAGCTGGATAATGGTGCAAGTGATTTGAGTATGGCATTGGAATCAGCACTGTTTCAGACATATGCAGGCAAAAGCACAAAGTTACTGAAATGTGCTGCTGAGAGGGAGTCTTACTGCTTTGGTTTCAAAAGGAAATCTTGTGTTGGCAATGAATAAGGTTTAGAGCCAGCAGTGTTTAAGCAGTTCATGCAGAATCATTATGTAGAAACTGTGAGTGGAGATCAGGTTACTGTATATGCAATTATTAATACAGTATTTTAAAAAATGTGCTAATAGACTATCAATAAAATTTGTCTATTATTAGAACTCACCATTTCCTTCCTTAGCACAGCCAGCTGTGAGTCTAGAGTGGAAGGCCTACGTTGCCTGGTAGGCCCGTGTGCAGGACTTAATCTTGGGTTATTTCCAGAGATTGAACCAGGAACTGGAGGACTTCCTCTTGGACTGTGAGTTTTATTTCCTGAGGTGCATCCACTTGGATTTCGTGGAGATGTTGAATGACTTCGGGGTGATGAACGGGGAGAGAATCCCTGCATGGAGCCATTAGCATAGTATGGTTCAAATGCACTAGCACCATATCCCACTCCAGAATAATGGGAACGAGCAGATTCAGGACGCGAATCCATGCGTGACTCTGTACGTGAGTCAGCTCTCACAGGACTGTAACGTTCAGTACTAGGCTTCACTGGAGGACTGTATCTCTCTACTCCTCCAACACCACTTCCACTACCCCCACTGCTACCACCACCAGCACCTTCCCGTCGACCAGCTAAGTTGATCAGGCCACTCAGACTTTTGGGAAGAGGTGGCAGTCCCTGAATGGTTGTCATTTTTGCAATTTTATTATCAGATTAATGATTTAGTACATGAAGATCAACTCAAAGCAGATGTATAGAAGAAATGAGGTAGAGTATAATATATTAGTATTACTGCTACTTACAGCTCCTGAACCCTGCCAATGACAAATTAGTGAATACCCATATTTACACAACTACTTTCAGAAAAATTAATTAATGACCTTTCTAACATGTTTCATATCTTATTTATTTTCACAAAAACTACAAGAAGAAACAGTTTGTACAAAGAAGAAACAGTTTGTACAATTTAATTTGAATATAGGAATCTTCAAAATCTGTAAGGAAAATAATATGCATTAGTAAACTTTAAAAATAAATGGAGCTAAATATATCAACACAAACTAGAACACGAAACAATGGATATGAATAGTATAAGTAGAGATTCAGAAAAGGCTTCGATAAACGCTATTTTGTAAATTTTATTGTAGATTTTTGGAACAAATTAAGGAGGCATGGGATTGTTGGATTGCTTCAAGCATAGGTCAGAGGGTTGTATGCATACAATGTGCCCTTATCAAGATGTGGTTGCATCAATTCCTTCATGATTATTGCAAACAATCCATGTGTGTCATTTTTGTCAGTGTCAATGTTGCTGCCAGTGTTCATAATCATTTCAATGACCAGTTCTGTATCACAGTCATACATAATGAATAACTTTGTCCAACTCTGCAGCAATTTGATGGTACAGTATATACATAATGCTTGACTGAAACAGCCCTTAAACAGCATAAAATACTCATTAATCACAATATTCTGGGTTGGTATATAATAGGGCATGAACTCTGTATTCATCCCATTGAACAGGTGTCTAATTTTCTAGTGTACACACAACACGGGTTACCAAGAGTAAGACAGATCACAGCATACAGGTTATGTCTTATTCTACAAACACATCATGAGCAGTGAAGAGTAGAGTAGATCTCATCTTTATGCACTTCTGCCAAGAGTGAAGCAGACACATCTTTATGCACTTCTGCCAAGAGTGAAGCAGACACATCTTTATGTACTTCTGCCAAGAGTGAAGCAGATCACATCTTTATGCACTTCTGCCAAGAGTGAAGCAGACACATCTTTATGCACTTCTGCCAAGAGTGAAGCAGATCACATCTTTATGCACTTCTGCCAAGAGTGAAGCAGATCACATCTTTATGCACTTCTGCCAAGTGAAGCAGATCACGGCTTTATGCACTTCTGCCAAGAGTGAAGCAGTTCATGGCTTTATGCACTTCTGCAAAGTGAATGCAGAAGTCATACTCTGTACACACCTCACAAGCTGCCAAGTAGATTACACCCTACTCCTTTTAGTCTTATTCTACTACATTTGGACTCTGATTCTACACACACACAACACACTATGGAGGTCCAGAACTAACGTGGACGAATATCTTTACTGCACAACATATTGTATTTCACTGCCGCAGGTTTACTAGTTTTCACAACAATCTGCTTTTAATTTCAATCGCGACGATAACCATAGCCACATGTATCTCTACTATGTTGGTAGATAAGCCTATGGAAAACCTACAGAGGTCGTTGCACGAGCTGATTCAGCTGTAAATACGAGAAATATTGAGACTGATTCTCCCTCATCCTCCAGTGGTTGTTTACATATTCTTCTGTTTTCCGAAACTCATCATAAAGTGTGAAATAATCTTGCGACATTAAAATATAACCATTTTTATATATTATATTTTTATAATTTAGATGATACAAAAAGTTCTTTATGTTATTTAATTTCTTCTTTAAATATATGAATGGTTTAGGGGTACATTGTCAAACACTGTACTACATACGCGACTTCAACAACAGTTTCGGACAACGTGGCGCGCAGCCATCACGTTCGATAACCCGGTGGAAGGTGGGCAAGGTGGCAAGTGGGGTGGTTGGGGAGAATGGGGTCAATAAGGGGGGTGGGGGGACATTAAGTAGGCCTATTAACATAGATATTGGTAGATATCTTTATAGTGCAGTGTACTTTGCGTTGCCAGCCGATGTACAGTTACACCTTATCTAATGTAATCTGTGTCGGCAAAACCATTCGCACAAGCACATAACTACTGGGAGTTAGTCAGCTGTCACGGGCTGCTTCCTGGGGGAGGGGGGGAAATAGTAGTAGTAGTTAGTAACAGTTGATTGGCAGTAGACAGGCGGGCCGAAAGAGCAGAGCTCAACCCCCGCAAGCACAACTAGGTGAATACACAGGTAGGAGCGTAGGGAGAAAGAAAGGAGTCAGGGAACCATATCCCCAAACCCTACAATCCCAGAGGGGAGTGGGGAACCCTCCACAAGAAGTTTAACAGCCACAGGGAGAGGAGCACCACCCCCATCTTCCGCCCAATAGACATCCTACTTACCCCAACCCCTGCCAGCCCCCAATTAATTGCCCACCTATGGCATCCTCCCCCCACTCACCCCCCCTCCCCAGGACCTCCCGTCTCCCCCACCCTCCTAAGCCCTCCATTCTTCCCCACCCCCTTATGCCCTCCATTCTCCCCCACCCCTCTAAGCCCGCCCTTCTTCCCTACTTCCCTAAGCCCTCCCTTCCTCACCCCCCCCCCTCTGCTCTCCCTTCCCCCCCCCACCCCCCAAGACCTCCCTCCTCTTCTGCAACCCCAAAGCCCCCTTTCCCCCTCATCCCCCAAGCCCTCCCCTATACCCCCCCAAGCTCCACCTCGGTGAGACCCCATCTGACCCCCCCTAAGCCTCCCCCTCTCACCCTCCCACCCACGCCCCACCCTCCCAAGCCCTCTCTCCTCCACTACCACCAGATCCTACCAGCCCCTGTACACCCCAGATCCCCCAGGTCCCCCTCCTTAGGCCCCTCCCATCCCGAACCCTCCCCGTTTCCCCTGCTTCAGGGGAGTCAACAGAAACTGAGGAAGGACAGAAGAGAGTCAGTTTCAGGGTGATGTACTCGAATATATATGGGATTACAAGTAAGGCATGTGAACCAAGGGAAAGAGCACAAGAAATGAACCCAGAAGTAATCGGACTCATAGAAACAAAACTCTCATGAATCATAATGAATGCGGTGTTTCCCCAGGACTACGCAGTTATAAGGAAAGAGAGGGAAGGTAGGGGAGGAGGCAAGTGGCCCTACTAATGAGAAAGAAATGGAGTTTCAAGGAGATGGCTATCCCGGGCTGCGAGGGATTCAGAGACTACATAACAGGAACTGTGACAATGGGAGGACCAAGAATAGTAGTAGCAATGATATATAACCCTCAACCCAATGACAGCTAGAAGACCCAGGCAAGAGTATGACAACAACAACATGGCAGTTAATACTATAATTGAGAGGGCAGCCTCTGTTGCTTGTAGAAATAGATCCCATCTGCTCATCATGGGGGGACTTCAATCATGGAAGGATAGATTGGGAGAACAAGGAACCGCATGGAGATGAGGATACATGGAGAGCTATTGTGCACCCCATACTCATCCTGTGAGCAGTAGTTTATTGTGCACCTCATACTCATCCTTGTGAGCGGTAGTTTATTGTGCACCCCATACTCATCCTGTGAGCGGTAGTTTATTATGCACCCCATACTCATCCTGTAAGAGAAGCGCAAAAAAGGATTACAGAGGGCACAAATGGTCTTAATCAGATCTCAGCGGAGATTTTTACATTAACAAATTACATCTAACCTATACACCTTATAAGTATGATGACACCTAGTTACAAACATTTTTTTAATTACAGTATTTATGCATTTATAATAAATAATTATGCTAATGCATAACTTTTCTTAAATATGGGGTATTACAAGATAATTGAAGAGGTGCTGTTTATTATTATTAGTCTTCACATTATACAGCTTATACATTAGTCTCATATGTCATTTATTTGGCGCAAGCGAACTATGGATACAATGCAAGGATTTCAGATATATTATCATTTGAAAAGGGTTGTTTGCCATTCCATGCAACGTGAGTTTAGATTGATCTAAAAAAATTATTGAAATTTTCAGTCTAAGATGTAATGCCCCAGTGTGTCACTAAGATTATATACCATTTCATGTAGATCCCACGATCGTCGTCGCCCCTAAATCAACCCAACATTTCATGTAGCGTCAATTTTATTTTATCTCTAGATGGCTCAATTTTTTCCACAATACAGAATGTAACTATAGTGTGCTCGTGTCTTTATTCCCACACTTTACTTCATCAATGATCCTCCATTCAAATCGAACTGCCAGAGATACTTGTAGCTAATACGTATTCGAGCCGTGACAACGTCTGTTAGGCCTTGCCCCATACATATGTTTTATTTGAATGCATATTCGTTGAACACGAATATACATTCGCGTTCAACGTAAGACCTTTGAACATTTCTAAGCAAGGAATTATTTGGATTTATGACTTCAAATGATCTTGTTATGTCATCCTTTAGCGCATATATTGTTCTGGGACGGTTGTTATAAACTAGTTTAAGGTGCCCCCATAACATGTAATCCATAGGTGTTAGATCTGGAGATCCTGGTGGCCATTCAACTGGTCCACGGCGTCCAATCCATTTCCCTCTAAATGTTTCTTGTACAAATTCGCGAACAACCATTGCTTAATGAAAAAGTCATTCAGCAGGAATGATCTTCATCATCCTGAGGAGTGGTAAAAAATCATTCAGCTCATCATCCTGCGGAATGATGTGAAAACACCCCAGATTTATGAGGCGCAACACACATGGGAAAAGATTATATGAGGCTAATTTATAATATCGGTTAAAGGCTGCTTCAACTCTTGTTCTTCGCTCTTCTTGAGACGTAAATTAAGCCGGCTTAAAATCTTTTCATGAGGGTATTTCTAATCCTTGATCCTTGGGATTAACCTTGCCATCACTTTTTTTATTATCACCAAGCTTAGGTACACAGCAATGAGCTGCTATTTAAGTAACTATATGTCAGAGCTACGAGGAGTGGTACCAGGTTGGGGGGGGGGGGGGTAGAAATAGCCTAAGCTACTTTATCCCTTTGAGATGTATTTCTTTCTTGTCTCAATAAACATACTTGAACTTGTGGTACTAGGCTACATAAGGGTCTATCCTACCCAACCCCCCATATATCTGTTCTCTCATCTTTCTTTCTGTATTCCCCTCTCTTTTCTCCAAATTTATCCCCTAAGATCCCCCTCTCCGTTCTTTTCTCCCCTTTCCCACCCCTATCAAATAAAATCAAATGTTTATTCAGGTAAAAATACATACATACAAGATGAGTTACAAACATAATGTTGGATTTCTAGATAGAGCTAGTACATACAATGCCTAAAGCCCGCCAAACTCCCTGTTTATGAATGAAAAACGGTTTACACACGACTCACAACTGATGACGTTCGAATACTTCCGGAACAAGTGCTTCACTGACGGATTTTGTTCGAACCACAATGCTGCAAATGCTTCACTAACGTACTACATATACAAATAATCGCCAACAGAACCTAAATACCTTACCTAACCAATGTCTATATATGCACAATATGCTAATATATTATAATATTAATTTATATTTGAGAAAATTCCCGTTTTGAATGAACAGCATGTAAAAATTTATGAATGCGTCTGTGGGCTCGACCGTTGGGTGTAATGAACTTGAGTCGAGGAAGGGTTGTGTTAACCCGTCCTCCGACCAAGTCCATTCAATCCAGTGGTCGATCCCAAATGCATTCATCAATTTTAACATGTTGTTCAATCAAAATAGTAATTTTCTCAAAAATAAATTAATAGTGTTATATATTAGCATACTGTGCATATTTAGGCCTTGGTTAAGTTAGAGGCTTAGGTTCTGTTGGCGATTAATTGTATTTGTAGTACGAGGGTGAAGCATTTACAACATTGTGGTTCGAACATAAGTCGTCAGCGAAGCACTTGTTCCGGAAGTGTTCGGACGTCATCAGTTGTGAGTCGTGTGTAAACCGTTTTTCATTCATAAACAGGGGGTTTGGCGGGGTGGATGGAATGGACTTTGGCCTTTGTTTATGAGGATGGGCTGTCACCCTGCAAAGTTGGGTTTGTTCTCGACTCACAATTGGCAATTCTGAGTTCAAATCCCGGACGGGACAGAAATGGTTGGGCGCGTTTCCAATCACCTAATGCACCTGTTCACCTAGTATTAAATAGGTATCCAGGAGTTAGTCAGTTTGTTGTGTGGGTTGCATCCTGGAGAAGGTCAGTAATTCTACCGTGAGGTGACCTTGATATAAGCCTAACGTATATATATATATATATATATATATATATATATATATATATATATATATATATATGTCGTACCTAGTAGCCAGAACTCACTTCTCACCCTACTATTCAAGGCCCGATTTGCCTAATAAGCCAAGTTTTCCTGAATTAATATTTTTACTATAATTTTTTTCTTATGAAATGATAAAGCTTCCCTTTTCACTATGTATGAGGTCAATTTATTTTTATTGGAGTTAAAATTAACGTAGATATATGACCGAACCTAACCAACCCTACCTAACCTAACCTAACCTATATTTATAGGTAAGGTAAGGTTAGGTAGCCAAAAAAAGCTAGGTTAGGTTAGGTTAGGTAGGTTAGGTAGACGAAAAAACATTAATTCATGAAAACTTGGCTTATTAGGCAAATCGGGCCTTGTATAGTAGGCTGAGAAGTGAGTTCTGGCTACTAGGTACGACATATATATATATATATATATATATATATATATATATATATATATATATATATATATATATATATATATATATACCCAAGCTGCCTGTCCCCCGACACAATGAATTATTACAAATATAACCTCATACAGACAAACAATACATTCTCTCTTATAAATATAGATTAAGGTTATTATAGGTCATATATATACATATCTCTCAGGATGGTTGGTCATATATGAACAAACCCACAGAGGCCGTGATGAGCTAACCTGTGTATTGGTCATATATACTTAGTGCGAGTTCAATCTACTACTTGTCTTTACTAGCAAACTTTTAGTAGAATATGAGGATATATTTTAATATTCTTGAGGTGCAGACAGTAAGTCGTAGTTAATATATATCGTGACTAAAAACTATGTAACCTCTACATCTGAAAATATCAGTGAAGACTTTTTCAAATTATCAGTTTAGTCGGTGTAAAGAAAGTTGTAGAAATTCACTATATTTATATAAGGTAAGAATGAGATGAACTGCATGGGCATTTAAAGTAGCTGTATGGGTATTTAAAGTAGCTGCATGGGTTTTAAAGTAGCTGCATGGGTATTTAAAGTAACTGCATGGGCATTTAAAGTAACTGCATGGGTATTTAAAGTAACTGCATGGGTATTTAAAGTAACTGCATGGGTATTTAAAATAACTGCATGGGGTATTTAAAGTAACTACATGGGTATTTACAGTAACTACATGGGTATTTAAAGTAACTTCATGAGTATTTAAAGTAACTGCATGGGTATTTAAAGTAACTGGGTAGTGCAGTAAGCGCTCCCAGGGTATTTCTCCTTCTCTAGTTGTCATGATGTAGGCGATATCCATAGAGAATGGTTCCTTCTAGCTGTGCAACATCTATGTGAGGAGTGACAGAATGATGGAGACATCTATTGACATCCCTCAGTCAATAGTGACTGAAATCATCTCAATGGGTAGGTTTCAACGCGAGACACATTAAATTAGGGAATGATAAAACAAACAGAAATGGTTCAGTGTTTATAAAATACATCAACAGGAACAATATGACGTACAGTAATTGATAAAACTCATCTAACACCACCCATTTCTCAGGTGGAAGACTTGATTATGCAATCGGTCATGGTTTCTTAGACAATGCCGTCCATAGATCATTAGTGCAAGAGTTAATTATTCGTCGTCATGCACATACACCATCAAAGATCAAATCAAATGTTTATTCAGGTAAAAATACATACATAGAAGATTAGTTACAAACATAATGTTGGATTTATAGATGCTAAAGATGCTAAATCACAACAAATATGAAATAACAAGTTATATCTCTGACAACCTACATATACACTTCAAGCTCAAAATATACGATTGGTATCAATCGTCTATGTCAATGTGAGGATCATGTTAATGAAGTATAACACGTCACTATGTTAAATGGTTGAATACTAAGTAGGCAAGAACTAAGAATAGAAGACAGCAGTAGTTCTGTAAACCCACGCCGGAAGTCCAAGCATGATCATGTACTACAGGTTGCTGAGTACTACATGGCACACACAACAATTGCGTCGCTCAAGTTAGGAACAGACGTAAAGTGTGGGTGCCCCCATTGGTGGGGTTGGGGGGTTAAGGGTGGGGGTCCTTTTGGTTCCATCCCCCCCCCACCCCACCCCAAGGAGCCAGCTATTAATCATCATTTCCTAGGCTCAGAACCTTATACAGTTGTCAGCGCTGAACCAATATTGCTATAAAAGCCATTGTATTTTGTTGTAAATTATTGTTGAAGTGAATAAATATTTTAATCTGGGATTCAGAATCTTAATATATTTTATATCGCTGTCCGGCTTATAGTAAAATGGATTGTATATGTAACAAATTCATATTAAGTACTTTAAAAAGTATTAATTTATTATTTTATAATTAGAATTTAGGTTATAAAATATGGCTGAATATGGGTGAAACTCAAGACGAAAGAGTACTTGCGTACCGTTACATTCTGGAAAGTTTCCGTTTTGGGGGATAAGTAGCAAGGAATGCTGCGTCCGAAGAGAATAATTATGAGTTATAATCATTGGTCTTGCGTAATATATGATACGCAAGCAGTCAAATTGTGCAAGTATAAAATTAGTATACTTTATTTTAATATGAAGATACATCCATATAAGGCAATTTGTTATAGAATGCGTTGCCAAATATATATTAGAACTCTAGAATATCCAGAGCGCCATGTGACGGCTTTGAACAAGTTGTTTATTGCATAATAAATTTAGCTTGACACTATATGGGCTTTATTGAAGGATATACACACGATCAATCAAATATTAGGTATTGTTGATAGTTGATAGTGTCCGTATGCCGTTAGACATAGGTATTTGTTTACAAACATTGGAATGTAAACAAAAGTGTCGCGGGTCGCGCGTGTTTTGTGTGACTCGCGGTGCATTGTGGGCCACTCGCGGCTGGTATGTTGTGGTGCGCACGCGGGCTGTGTGTCTAGCCGTGTCGCCATCTTCACCGGCTCGTAGGTTTCACACGATGTCTGCTCCTTTAAGGGGGCCCGATCAGCATGCTTGGGCCCTGCTAGCCCTCCAGAAGTCCGCGCCGACGTCCCCTCACCGCGTGCCGTGGTCGCCTGACAGAAAGGGAACCCCCATTGCAAGGTTGGAAGGGAAAGAATTCGAATACATGGTGCGGCAGAGTCGGGTGGTGATTGGGCGCAACTCCAGCAAGGGCGATGTCGATGTAAACATGGGCCATAATAGTTTTATATCGCGCCGACATATCGAGATATATTTCGAGACGCCGCACTTTTATATGATATGCAACGGCAAGAACGGTGTCTTCGTGGACGGTGTGTTCCAGAGGAAGGGCGCCCCGCCTCTCCAGCTGCCCAGACAGTAAGTTTTGCCTTAATCTTTCAATTTAGATATATCTTTTCCTATATTATTGGCTGGTAATTTGTATATTATATAGCAGGGCAGATGGTGAAGGTGTAAGAGTGCTTGGTTAGCTCGTGACAGTTTGACAGGTCATTCAAGCTGAAATCACATTTGTTTGTTTACCCAAGGAAATATGAATATAAAAATACTTAAACAAATGTAAGGCAAAATATTTTTATACTGGCCTATGCTCATTTAAATGAGCTATATATTTATAATTACTTTGCCTGTCCTGGGTTGAAAACTTAAGAGACTTTAGCATTTTAGAATTCTGCATACTCCTGACCTTGCTTAACTTATCCAATAACTGGCAGGTTTGGTTATGATGCTCTTGATACTTGGTAGATTTGTTTTGGTCAAATGATACAGTTTTCTTTAAAAAATGGTAGCTAAGTGGTCAAGCAGAACACCTTTGTAAGTTGCTGCTACTGTTTTTTTTTTTTTGTAATGCTTATGTTTACTGATTGGTGATTATAGCTGGTTGTGCAAGGATTTTATGAATTGAGTTCAGTGTACTGCATGAATACAGTTTTATTTATTTTTGTAAATGCACTTTAAACCAAATTGAAGTTTTTGTTAGTCTATAATTATATTCTATTTTCTCGTGTGGTGAACGTGGGAACCAGCGGTAAAATGGATACTGGTTACTTTATGCAACAATTTGCATACAGATTTTCAAACCTAGCTTAATCAGTGATACATTAAGAAAGTTTGAAGTATATTGTTGAATATTGTGTACAAAAAAATTAAACAATACACAGTCAAAAACTAAATCTTTAAGGGCAAAACAACCCATGTGTGATATACCTACACAGTATATAAAACAATTCTCCAATTAGGTACGAGGAAATTACACTGCTTAACCCTAGTTAAGCAAACCTATCCATATTTATGGCATAATTAAAAGCTTTCAAAAAAGGATTTTGTTGTGAAATGCATTCATATTTTTATCATTCAATGACAAGCTACTTGTGCACTGTGGTGGTACTATGCAATTTTTCATTATTTTGCTCTTTAACCAGATATGATATCGGGGTATTTTCTAGTACTATGGTATGCTTAATATATATGTAACAATACTATAGGTGAGATGTCTATCTTGGAAACAAATTGAGATGGGAATCTGTTTAATAGCATTTACTGTCGTGGCAGTTGATAAGCTTGAAATCTATTGATGATCAAGGTCCACAAAGAGTTAGTGTATATAGTTGATTTACAAGGTAGCTAAGTGGAGATATGATAAATAATTCAGTCATAGGCTAGATATGACCAACATATGATGTAGTTTGAATCAAAATGTGTAGGTATTTTCTGACCATATTTGTAACAAATTTTTTATGTACCCCCATTAGGTAAATACAGTAGTGTGTAGAAATTGCTGGTATTGATATATTTTAACTTGATTTACAAATAATCAGGCCAACTGTTGCTAGGACAGATGTATGAATATTTAAGATATACTGTAACTGTGATAGGAATTATGATTCATGCTGTTGACAATTTACACAGTCTTATTCTTTGATTTTAGTAAAACATGAGATTTTTACTCATAGGCATAGAACTATTTTTGTGAGGGTTTTGACATGATAGAGTAATTGTATACATAATTCTTGTGTACATAAATCTTGAGGGAGAAACTAGTTATGTCAGAAATCATTTCCTAATTATAATCAGCCAGTTTTATTTTAGTAATTAATTTGTAAGAAAGTGGCTTTTGCATTTCAAGTACTGTATTGAATATATAAAGACAGGCTTCCATAAGTAACTGTGATGAAACAGTTCTATATTGATACCATTCTGTATTACACTGTATCTGTAAAATATCACAAAGGAACTCCTGTAGAAAGTATTACAGTATTTGCAACCAACCTTGACCTTGAGGTGATTATTGGGATCACTTCCCTTACAGTGTTTTCTCTTTGATCAGGCCTACTGGATGATGTTCTTATTGACCAATCAACTTAAATGAACATTTAATAGCAGTGTTTAGTTTTGGTAGTTTATTGGAGAATATTGTAGTGAATTATTCTTGCAAGGCAGAATCAGAGTTAAGTTACATTAAATACATGAGTACATTTGATAGAACTCAGAATACCTATCAATTTCTTAATGAAAATTAAATGTCTCCAAATAGAATCTTTTATGGATGCAGATTTGTAGAATGTTGTGCTGTATTTTTGTTGAGCAAATTTAGTTTTTGTTTGTATACTTACTGTTGATATAAATTGAAATTTATTACAGAAATATTTTTTAGGCATTTCATTTGGCCAAAATATTTCATCTGTCATTCATTTTGAGATTAATTTTCTTAAGTCATTTCTGTCCAGGTTTTACTTTTTGTAATTTGCATGTAAATAAAGAATATATTGTTTAGTCAGCTTTTAAGTGCTGTATACTGCTTATTAACAGTATTCTCGGCAAGTGTCTTGGTTTTGTTCAGATTAGTAAGAACGTTAATGATGTTTTTGTCTTGACGGGATCATTTATTGGAACATAAATGTTGTTATAGTAGCAACCATTTTGATGAGTTAATTAAAACTGACCTAAGCTTATGCTCATCTTCTGATGTTTTTTGTGAATGAAGATAATAGTCAAGTTTTGATTGGCTTGCAAAGAGGATTTGTGGTGGTATTGTTTAATAGTATATCATTGCCTTTAATATAAACATTACTCTTATAATTTTATTTTGAATTAAACAGCTTCATTTACGTGGGATCATACAAATAGCTCTCAATATAGTAGTGAATATATGTAACATGATTTGAATTTAAATCTAATACAGTACTGTATAAATATTATTTTTTCCGAAGAAAGTACAAAATGTTTTGTAATATAATTACTGGGTATTTTTAATATAAGTAATTGCGCACAAATGAAATCACATTGGCGTGATGTATCAAGAACAAGTAATGTTACAAGTACAAGTACAGTGAATAATTCAGTTAAAATTTAATTTGAGCGCAAGATATTAGATACTTTCTTGCAAAGTCATTGATGTATAGGTATTAAGTGTTTTTAGCAAACTGGTTGTACCATTCACTATAAATTACTGTATTGTACTTTTTAATCTTTATTAACAATTAGGTACATAAGTACTTTTTAACTAAATTTGTATACAAGACCACTTTGTCAATAAACTCGTTTACGAAATCTCATATTTAATATAGTACTGATGGAAAATTCATTTTTTTAAATATATATACTGTATACAAAAGTTTTTACATTCTTGTAAAGCCACTAGCACTCATAACGTTTCGGGCAGGTTTTATTATCGCAACCTAGCCTGGCTCCAACCTTTCTGGGTGACTGCGTGGCCTGTATGTTCGTAGCCCGTTGATCCATGTAGCTATTACAGTGAGGTTGGTCTGATAATTGTAGCTGCAAGCTTCCACTGTTGTTTGAGTGATATGTCTTATATTGTTGGCAGGAGGTTGAAGATGTTTACAGTGTTCTCTAATTATATCCTCTTTTTTTCACACCTTGATTTTTTGTTAGTTGTACCATTATATATACTCCTAGTAACTCATTCTATATAATATGCATGTTTAAATAAATTCTTTTCTGTTATATTATAGATATTATTGGTTTTTATTTTTAAAATATGTAGTAATCATTGGCCTTTTTATTTAGGAAGTGTAAATATGTGCCCATTCATTTGTGGTTGTATAGTAATCTGTCACAGTAGCTAGTCTGTCTCGAGGAATTCGGCCCCTCAAGGGAGTGAATTTTCAGTAACTTATCTAAATATGTAATTTATAATGCTGTAAATAAAATTGTACTTGGATAATTTAATACTGTATACAGTACTGTTCATATCCCAAAGCATATTGGTTACTTTCATAGAAGTGATATAACAACTTTACATTGTCGTCAAGCTCCTAAGGGAAATAATACTGCACACAATAGATATTTATAGATGCAAAACAGCACCAGATTGAGAAATGATAATCCACTCACAGTACCATAGCATCGTAGTTCTGTTCAAGAAGAGCATATTGTTTGTTTATCCAGTATTCAGCATATTTGAATATTCTGTACTGCTCAGCTTCAGTTGGCCTAGAAATTCAGTTCAGTATATCTTTAAGTGTGTGAAATGCCCCAATAATATAGCTCTGAGCAAATGTAAACTGTCAGCAAAACAATTTTCACACTGCATTACTATGTTTTAAAATTGGAAATAATCCAAGAATTTACTGATAATTATTTACAAATGCTGAAGTAATATTAAATTAATTCATCTGAGTAACATTTCTCATAGCAGGGTATTGGTGGTGGTGGGGGGGTTAATGCACAATATTTGGTAGAGTTAGGTTAACTTGATTTAGCAGTAGTGTACTGCATTATTTTTAGCAATACAGTATATGGAACCATACTGCTAGCATACTTGTAGGTTGTATCACACGTTTTTGGTGCCATGTTTGTTCGTGCGTCATTTTAATTCCAATTGAAAAAGATCACATTAGGCTATAATACTACATTATGCCCTATTTTGTATCCAAATAGTTCATCACTCCATGGTCTAATGTAGTCATGCTTAAATTAAGAAGCAGTATCAAAAGAATGCTTATTAATATAATATCAAATGAGGTATAATTTATCTAAAGTCCAAGTGTAGTAGGATAGTATGTTGAACATCTCTGTATATTTCTGTGAAAAATGCTGCTTTATTAATTACATCATCCTGGACTGCTGGGTACTGTATTTTGTCGAGAGGAAAAGTGTGCTGCACATAACACGATACAGTAATACTGTTCTGTAGAATATCTTGAGAAGTAAGCGTTGTATTTTTTACTGACTTTTTACTGGGTATTTTATCTGCTGGACCAATCATATGCTCAAAATAATAATTTTTTTTAACATTTATTAAACCAACTATTAACAAACAGTAAAATGTTTAAACACAAAATGTATTTTTCTTTCTTTACCTCAACAGATGTACATTGCGGTTTCCTAGCACAAATATCAAGATTCAGTTCCAGTCATTAGTAGATGACTTGGATCCCCCACCTGCTAGGGTTCCATCTCCACCCAAAAGAAAAATGCAGCCTTTGAAAATTAACATTCCAGAACAAGACGCTAACTTTGGCTCTCCGTTCCCTTCACCAACAGGCACTATAAGGTAAGTTGAAATAGTCTTGGATGGGTATTTGTTACCGTTAGTGCTGTTTGATGTTAAGAACATATGCTTACACAAGAAATGTGGGATCTGGGATTTTTTTTGTCAAGGAAACTTTAAAACCTTTGCCAAACAAACAAAATATGCATATCAATTTTCTTGTTTGATATGGTTAAGAGAATCTTAAATACTGTATAAGAAAGGTAAATAGTACTGCAGAATAATACAAAACTACTTAAACAAAATACAGAGTACAAGACAATCAAGTCTGCCCATAGTAGGAAAGCAACTTGTAAAGGATCTAGGAGTAATGATGTCTGGCGACCTATCGTTTAGGGAGCATAACCAAGCAAATATAGCATCAGCTAGAAAAATGATTGAATGGATTATGAGGACTTTTAAATCCAGGGATCCCATCACAATGTTCATACTGTTCAAATCACTTGTACTATCCCACCTTGAGTACTGCTCAATACTCACTTCCCCCATCAGAGCAGGAGAGATTGCTGAAATAGAGGGATACAGTGCACATAGACACGATAAAGCACCTATATTATTGGGACTGTCTGAAAGCTCTCAATATATACTCTCTGGAAAAAAGATGAGAAATGTATCATAATATAAACATGAAAAATACTGGAAAGTCAGGTCCCAAAAGTACACAAATGACGTCAAATGACAACATTCTGGAATAAACTACAATATATGGAAAGAAATCAAGAATAGAGCAAGTGAAGAGCAGAGGTTCCATAGGCATAATCGGAGAACACTGTATGAACATTAGAGGTCCACAGTTGTTCAATATCCTCCTAGGAAATATAAGAAATATTGCCGGAACAAAAATGGACTTCAAGAAAAACTGGGTTGTTTTATACAAGACATGCTGGACCAATTAGGTTCTAGTGGGTCTGTGGGCTGCCCCAAGCAACAGTCTGTTGGACCAATTGGGTTCTAGTGGGTCAATACAGGTACTAAAAACTATTTGGTTCAGTTATACAAATGCTGAATTACTTACAAATTTGTTAAAGAAAACCCAACAGCATAATATCACAGATATTAAAATTATTAGTTATCTCGTAATGCATTTAAAAGGGTGTAAAGTTTCTAACTTTAGAGACATATCTTACAACCAGTTGAATTTAATAAGTTAAAGAACAATATTTTATCCCACCTTCCTCCTAGTGAGGGTTTTCCGGTATGAATGTTATTAATTTATTTTAATTGATAGGAATCTTAAGTTTTCGGAAAGGTAAGGTGAGCTAAGCATGCATGACGTTATCTTGAGGTTATCTTGAGATGATTTCGGGGCTTTAGTGTCCCCGCGGCCCGGTCCTCGACCAGGCCTCCACCCCCAGGAAGCAGCCCGTGACAGATGACTAACACCCAGGTACCTATTTACTGCTAGGTAACAGGGGCATTCAGGGTGAAAGAAACTTTGCCCATTTGTTTCTGCCTCGTGCGGGAATCGAACCCGCGCCACAGAATTACAAGTCCTGCGCGCTATCCACCAGGCTACGAGGCCCCACTCACTCAACATGTCACAGCATGAAATTGTTAAACCTGGCTCTGTGATATGGCTGAACCCAACATGGGGTGGACATGGGCGAACCCGACATGGCCGAGCCCGGCACGGCGGGACATGGCCGAGCCCGGCACGGCGGGACATGGCCGAGCCTGGGCCCATTCCTTTACTCTATTCACCATTGTGGAAGTCTGTTTCGACCTTGACAACGAGTGGATTTCTTGACATCTGCTCCACTTGGGGGTTGCCAGAAAAGTGTTTCAATTTTGTCTGTTGAATTTCAATGCTTCGCCTTTCACATTTACTTCAGTCACCATACCACCATAACTTTAGGAAGATTTGATCATGCTTCACTATATTTTACCCTGTGGACAAATGATTTGATCATGCTTCACTATATATTTTACCCTGTGGACAAATGATTGTTTATAATATGGCACTTTACCAAGTAATTATACCAAGTACTAGTAATATGTATTACTTGGTATAATACATGTGTAGTGACATTTTGGGCTAAATATGGTCAAGCTTGATTCCAAACTGAGAAAGAAATTGCTGTGTTTAGTATTACACTTGCTGGCCCATTATACCTACATTCATGCACATTAGTATGAGAAGTCCTGTAATGTGTATGAAATTGGTAGCTTAGATTGCCTCAGCAATGGGAAACAATTTTAGTTATTCCAGACAAATTTAATTCAGTTCTGTATACTGTACATACAGTACTGTATTTAGCCTTTTGCAGACATATAGACTTTGGCAAGTTGGTCTACACTAGATACTAGTATAGTGAAGGGGGACTAAAGATTACGTTCATGGTAATTATCTGCTATGATGTAGTGTCTGGTGCTGTGACTATCTCCATCTTCCTTTTTTATTGTAGACAAAGGGAAAAGTACAAATTGATTGATTATTTCTTAACACTATTGGTCACTGGACAGGCACGCGGTCAACTTAGGGGTCATGCACCCAACGTGCGGGCGAGCGTGCGGGTAAGCGCATGGTGACACCTAAATGTGTATACTCGTTTCAGCTTTCTCACCTTAATTCTCGTGCTACGTCACTCGTTTTGGTATCATTGTGTTCGCAATTAAATTCCCTACAGGTGTGTATAAATATAATGTCCAAAAGCCTGGCATGACTCCCAACAGCAAAGCCTAAAGTCAGCAAAAGTTACCCGTAAGCACACAAAATCAGTAAAATGTGCATACTCGTTCCATTTTTCTCACCTTAATTCTCGTGCTACGTCACTCGTTTTGGTATCATTGTGTTCGCAATTAAATTCCCTATAGATGTGTATGAATATAATGTACAAAAGTTTGGAATGCCTCCCCGCAGAAAAGCCTAAAGTTACCCGTGAACGAGCACCAATTTGTACACTGCAACCTAATGTGTATACTCGTTCAGTTTGATAACATTAATTTTCGTGTTACGTCTTTCATTTTGGTATCAAATTGTTCGTAATAAAAAGGCGCCTATTTTAAAACTAGTCCCAAATAATTTAATTCTGGAAGCTCATCACAAAATTATTTATATCTTTCCAGTGTTCTGACATAAATTTTTGTGTTACATCTTTCATTTTGGTATCAAATTGTTCGCGACATAAAGTCGCACATTTTAAAACTAGTCCCAAGATAATAGCACAATAAATAGAATTTTAACAAATATTTTGAAATTTTGACCAAAAGCCTATTTATAATCATATAAGTGTTCGGACATCAAGTTTCATGTTACATCTTTCATTTTGGTATCAAATTGTGCGCATTCTAAAGGCGCTTATTTTGATACTATCCCTAGGTCGATTGGATAAAAAATGAATTTTATACAAATATTTTTGTAGTGGACGCAAGTCCGGTCCAAAGTTAGGACTCGGGAGAAAAAAAAATAATGGACGCGAGTCTGGTCCAAAGTGACCGATAGTGTTAACATCAGAACAGCCCAATGGGTATTTGTAAATCATGACGAGAGGAAATACTTTTCTAGTTATTTTCTTAGATATCGAATCCCTAAAATTATCACTTGTGGGCACATACTGGATGAAGTAGATGATCCACCCTTCTGTCAGACATCCTCAGTTACCAGGAAATACTTTAGCGTGTCTTGTCTGTGTGGCAATTTTTGGTAGCAATGGTTCAATGAATATCTTGCATCATCGAGAGAATACTTCTACCAAGCATGGTACTTTTCCATGGCCAAAGATCAGAGCTGCTGTCTTGATTAATGATGAAAAACCACCTCAAATTTGTAATGAACAGAGTAGGTCTAAAACCTGAGAAAAGTTTGACCCGTTTGTCATCACTAATTTTTAAACAAACCTAATCCAATATAACCTATCTTAACCTTATGAACCTAATGAAAACTAGAGCTAAAATTGTGTTTTATATAGCATGACATTCTAATTTTAATCCTGGCACAGGTTTTGGATGTTTCTGCCTGAATATTCCTACTATTTGTCTACAAGAAAATAGATTAGAGAGAGTTACTGTTCCAGAGACTATAGTACATCATTTAGGGTAATTACCCTAGTCTACATAATCTCTGGTCCCCCCTTGACTACACTGTACATATCTTTGTGTGAGCCCACTCCATAGTTCACTAGTTGAGCAGCAGTCTCCATAAAATGGTTCTTCAAACTAGATGAACTATACAACCCAACTTAATATTGAATTCTGCTATATCCCCATAAAGGATAATCTAGTGATCAGACATTTAGGGAAATGACTGCAAAAGCATTTATGAGTGCCTCTCTTGAGGGAGGGCCCTTCATGGCTTGCTCATCAAAATTGATGGTCATGAGTAATGTCAGATAGGTCCAAATATTGCTTGTTTAAGCAGGGCATATTTTGTAAATTTGAGAAGGTACTGTATTAACATAATGTCATTGGTCTACTGCTTCATCATCAATGCTGCTGAAGTTAAGGCAAATTTCTCCAATGTTAATCATTAATTTGGTGACAAGTTCAATTTAGTAGAGCTAACATTTATACTGCATAACCATTATTTGTACAAATTTTTATAAAATGAAGGCTATTTAGATGAATATCGAAGACTGTTGGGTAATGGTAAACTCAAATCTGACTACCACTAGAATTATACCTTGATGTTGACATAATCAGTGCACAGGTCAGTTGGATTATTAAATTAAATCACCACAAAATTTATGCTGATGGATGGTAATCAATTGGTTGCCAAACTTATGATAGAGTGTACCAATAGTAATGTTGCTCCTTAGGGTGTTATGTTGTTGCTTTTCTAAGATAGCAGTAGTGGCTACCTAGAATTAGGCAGGAAAAAAGGGTCTGCTGTTTACAAGTGATTGCAAGGAACACCACACTTTCTAGTGCACCAAGTGTCGCCACCAGTTTACGGTTATACGTATGAATTCCTTTTCAGGCTACCAATATAGACTACGCAGGATCTTTGAACGGGAAGGGAGCGGGCACACCATTATTAAGATATAGAGTACATAATTTTACTTACA